CTTACATAAACTGCATGCGCATCTGGGTTCCGCCATACAGAGTTTTCAAATCACGTAGCTGCCCTTGGCAACTCCGAACACGGCAGTGTACGACCAGATCGACATGGGGAGAGAGTCATAAATTTGTACCCCAATCCACTTACGGACCAGCTACGTTATCAGAGCCCTATCTACGTACTCTCCGTAGACAACTTTCCGTAAGTGGAGTGCAAACTCGCGAATTCACGGGTTTTTCCCGGCCACTAACGTAAAGTAGCCAACTTTACGTAGTGCGGGACTTCTCTATTATTTGCATTTCCGCGGCAATGTCAGCCGCACAATGGCAACCCACATATTCGCATATGCCGGAAATAGAATGCTCTGCCAAAAACATAAATCAAATGACATCATAATTATATATCCGTTCTGTGTAATCCAGTTAAGAGGAACGTACGACGGCACAGAGTCCTCTCCACCCTGCACGGTCCCTTTCCAGGATCCGGAGGCGCTGCAAGTCACCAAGCGACACAAGCCTTCCATTATCCGTTTTCGCCAGGTCTTCCGACAGCTTCGTGACAATTGTGACACGTGGGCGTCCTCGCCAGGTCTTCTCATCGTGCGTGAAATACGCCGCCATTGCCAATGATGCTGGGGTGCCCTCTGGTAAGCGGAGAATGTGACCAAAGAGTTGCCACCGCAGACGCTTGAGAATGTTGGTGATTGGCTCAGCTTTGCACCTGGCGTACAAAGAGACATTCGTCATCTTCTGAGGCCAACTAGTGCCAAGGAGTGATCGCAGTTGCTGACGGTGGAAGAAATCGAGACTCTGCTCCAAAGCCACCGTCAAGCCCCTTCCCCTTTAATCATCGCTAACTGGTCCCCACCGTTAGGCGCTGCATCTGCCGCTAGGGTTTATCGGGTGTTAGCGGCCGTCGTGAGTTCCCTTCGGGAACGGATACGATAATTTACTTTTTTTTTTTTTTTTTAACTGGTCCAGTTTGCTAAAACGCTAAATTTTGGCCGCCGCGAAAGTTTGTCGTTTTACACTTTACAGTATCCAAGACTCCAGGCGGCTATCCGTTGCGATAGGCGGTTGGAGTCACGGGTAGAGACAACCAGACGCTGGATTCCTCGGGGACGCATTCACTGCAAACTTGATGGAAACAGCGCTGGCGGCGCTCACTGGGTCCAGAATTAAAATTTTCTAAGAACTACCATGTTACCATGGTGACCAGCACAGTGAAGAGACACTACAGGTATGTCAGCTACAACATAATTATATTCTTTCTACAACGACACCTACCTCTGGCTCAATACCTGACGATCTACTGCAAGCTGATGCAAAAGTGCATTACAACCGCGAAGGCCGCACTTGTCAACGGAACAGGGAAGTGCTTCACTGTCCAAAAGTTGAAAAGTATTTGGACTGCTGCTAATCGGGAGAACAAACGACCGCCACGGCGGCAGAACATTCCGCAGCTGTTCACCGACACGATCCGCTTCACCAAACGTCTTACGAACGTTTCATTCTCCGAGTTTTCTGGTGGCAGCAACAAGAATTCCGTCCGCAACGACAGGACGAAAGTCTCTCGCAACTGAAATCCTGTTGCCACGAAGACAGAGAAGATTCCGCAAGTTATCTCTTCTGTTTCCAGTATTGTAGCTCTCCTGTCCACTGGCATATCTTTCAATCCCAGTGAACGAAAAGAAGGATCTGTTTCTCTCTCCAAAACAACTAACTAACTTTGCTTCGCGAGTGTCCGGGCCGATCGTGTACATAGTGTATGCAGCGCATGCGGCGCACTTTCGCATGACATGACACGCATTTTTGCGCACCACGTTTGTACTTCGGATTTGGCAATTTTTTCTACGGCAATGGCTTCCTTTAGGAGTTGTCTACCTACGATGTATAATTTGAAAGCGATATTCCGTACAGAAAGTACCAAAAAATCCAGGAAAAGTTGGCCTTTCGATTTTTTGGGCTGGAGGTAAAAAGTGCCTGGCATGGAGGGGGTGTACAGCTCAGCTGACAGCCTGGTAGGGAGCGCCTTGTCACCTTGAGGGTTCAGCTGGCAGTGAAAGGGTTAATCAATTCTCTAGAGTACAGAATATAAGAAATCTGCAAGTAGTATTCAATTTCGCCAAACCATTACCTAGGGATAGTGATTTGAAGTGCAACAATTTCGGACTATCGCTATAAACACAAATGAATGGGTGAAATGGGAGAAGCGAGAAAATTTCAAGACGACTGCACAGTACAGTATGGTGTACAGTGCACAAGTACAAAGCCTCATCACTCGAACTGAGCGGACCGTGCGCATATGGTATTGCTTATAACTTGGTATGCTGGCGCAAAACAATTTCTCATGGAGGAAGACGAAAGGGTCTTAACGCCTGGAAATGTCAAATGGCCAGAAGTTGTTTGACGCTGATGATGATGGCATAGTCTGCGGCACTGCGACCCGACCAGAACAAGCCAAAACTCATCACCTCAAAAAAGCGCTTGTCGTATGGAAACGGG